GCTTTCACCGTGGACGAAGCGGAGTCCAGCCCGGGGTCGCCACATGTGGTTGTCGCAGGTATCACAGTATGGTGAGGGGCGTAACATTTCCGTCACACGCTTGAGGTATTCGGCCAATCACAACGCACTGGATAGCTGGCCAATCACAGCACACCTTGCTTTCCAGACCGATGAGCTTTGTAAAAATCAACGCGTTTCAAAAAGGCGGGGCATAGAGGAGAAACAATAATGTACAGTATGTGGAAAATAATGTGTTTTTTGAACCTTAAACCGCATAAACACATTTCATTACACCAAATACACCAAATAATGTTCTTTTTAGCAACATCATATGACCCCTTTAACTCATCATCATCCGTTCCAGTAGAGAGTGAGAGCTGAAGAAACTCCAAACACACAGCAGCAGATAATGAAGTGATCCCATTAAACACTGGAGCTCGTTTACGCTCGTCTCTGGGTCCCACGTGCGTCTGGCTCTTACAAACAGCAGCACAATAGCAGAAGAATAGAGTGCATTCACTTCAGCCCTGTGAAGAACCCTAAGTAGGGCGCTTCAGTGGCTCCGGTTTCACACGCTAGTGAAAACGACACGGCTCACAGACGTCAAAGCGCTCGCGGTGATCACGCTTTCCCACACGGCTTCAGAGCTGCCGTCACAAAACATAATGCCGAAAACACAACTAACTTCTGATTCTAAAGTGTGTTTTTGAGGGGTTTTATTTTTTTCCCACTGGGATATATTTAGCTTATAATACGAAATATAGTAGTCCGACCAGTGTTATTATAGGTAAGTAAAACTAAAACCATAAAACAATTTTTGTTACTTAAAATATAACATCATTCATTTTAGTTTAACTTGATGTACTAAAATAACTAAAACTAATACTGTAATAGAAATTAATGAAAACTATATAGACATATTTTATTTTAAAGTATAATAATTATATTAATTAAAAAATATTAAAAAAATATAAAAAATAAAACACTTATATTAATTAAAAATTAGTAAACAAAATGTAAAAAATTACAAACAAAATCTTTAACATTAAAAAAAAATTTTTTTTTTAAATCTATATAAAAAATTATAATAATATCTCAATTATACTAAAATATCCCTGATTGAGACCAGTGTTATTTTAATATCAAAAACAGTGAGATGCTACTATAGTTTTTGTTGATATTTTGACATTTTATATATATATATATATATATAAGTTTTAGAAGTGTTGTTGTAGTTTTGTCGTTTTTATTAGATTTTTTAATGTCTATATAGTTTTTATTAATGTTTATTTCGGTTTTAGTTATTTTAGTGTTAAACTAAATGTGTGTGTGTGTGTGTGTGTGAGAGTGAGAGTGAGAGTGTGTACGCGTTTTTGTGACAAATGAGGACATAAATGTGCATAACAGGGTCTTCAGAGCTCCAGTGAACATCTACAGATCCATTGGAGTGACACACCTGTAAGTGTTCTTAATAGACGTCTTATTAGCGTCGCGAGTGCTAATGGATGTGTGGGTGTGGATGAGTCACATCAGCTGCAGGAAAACACTCGTAAACAAACACTCCAGTGTGTGAGTGTTTGTGTGTGCGTGCGTGCGTGCGCATGTGTGTGTGTGTTGTGTGTGTGTGTGTGTGTGTGTGTGCTGTAGTGGTTATATTTATTTTATTTCCATTGAGTGCTGAGCTGCACGGACATTCTGTTCCATTAGAGACGATCTAATAGCGCTCCAAACACTTTCTGAATCTGCGGA